GTACCGGGGTTTTTTTCTAAATGATGTTCTAGGAGTCGCATTTAAGATTGCTTATTTCTACTTGGCATCTAGTTTCGGGCTGAGCATAAAAAAACTGCACGGGTCCCATCCTCAGTCAACCCTGTCCTTGTCTTCAATTCCTACCTGCAAGCGGGTCTTAGCTCCCTTCCTTTCTGTAACCCCGTTCCTCCCCTTCCTCCTCTCATTCGGATCACGAGACCGAACCACATCTTCGGTGATCACGTCCTCTTCCTGCCTCCAGCTCTGTATCTCCTTCACTCCCAGACTTCCAGACATTGTAAATTGCTTTCCGGCCTAGCCGAATCGAGCCGAACCGAGTTCTAGTATATACGCGCCAGAAAGCTGTCACCACGCGATGCAGCATTGATCAAAGCAGCCGGAAGATTGTCAGTTGCATGTTAGAGGAGAACTTTGTGAACAGCAGCTAATCAGCATACCAAGGAATTAATGCACTTGAATTTTGTTCATTCTCACAGCCACTGCGCAGAGGACATTGGACATTTTATAATCCCGTGAAGTGATAAACTGATAAAATGCGAAAATTGAAATGATTAAGCGCTGAAATGTCAATGTTCAAAAGTAAAACCCAGCAGTTAATGGTCCTGTTGCAGGATTTCCGGGAATGGTATTACACGACTGAGCTGCTGCTGCTTTTGGTACTGCTGCTCTTCCTGAGCATTTTGATGGCACGAACTTTTTGTACGAAAACAGCGAAATGCATTGGTGCAGTGAAATATCACGATACGACAGGAGCAATCACCAGTGCAACAACTGCGGGTGCCATCGGCACGGCTGCTGAACCAGCCGCAGCAACTGTGGTACTTCTGAAATCGCCAACGGATAAAGATATCGAATCGTTACAACCTTCATTCACTGAATTGCTGTTTGATATTGATATTTTTGTAAGTTTTTTATGATTATCTGAGCTAAAATCACATTTCTAAAAAATTTGGTGCCGGTCGAATTAATTTTGATGATTTTATAAGAAAATTTAAATTATACCTGTTTAAATCAACCATATTTTGAAAATATCAAGGAATTAAAAAAACAAAGGAATAAGAAAATCAAATACTCCTGCT